TTAAATTTTTTTTAATGTCTTTTATTTATTTCTAGGAGAGAGAGAGAGACAGACAGCGTGAACAGGGGAGGGTCAGAGAGAGAGGGAGTCACAGACTGAACAGGCTCCAGGCTCCGAGCTGGCAGTCAGCACAGAGCCCAACGCGGGGCTCGAACCCACGAACCGCGAGATCATGACCTGAGCGAAAGTCGGACGCTTAACCAACTAAGCCACCCAGGCGCCCCTGTGGCTTTGTATTTTTAAATTTTAATTTCATAAACTGTGTTGTGGGGTGCATGGGTGGCTCAGTCTGTTAAGCATCTGAATTCGGCTTAGGTCATGATCTCACAGTTCATGGGTTCTAGCCCTGCATTGGGCTCTGTGCTGACAGCTCAGAGCCTGGACCCTGTTACGGATTCTGTATCTCCCTCTCTCTCTGACCCTCCCTTGCTCACGCTGTCTCTCTATCTCTCTCTCAGAAAAAAAGTGTGTTGTTTACTCTGACTCTGTGACTCCACCCTCAGCAGGTTTCCCACCCTCTCCTCCCTCTCCGTCTATACTGGCCCATCCTCTGCTGGTCAGCGCCCAGCCCTCCTCTCTCCCCAGGGGACTCCAGCTAAGCACTGGTGGGAGCCTGGCTGTGCTGAGGCCACATCTCCAGTCCTGACCTGACACCCTCCCGCGGCTCCTGATGGTTATCTGCGCATGGAAGCCAGATCGACCTAGGGAAACCGAATTCTTGCCTCTTGGGGGCCCCCCTGCCCCTCACTGGCTCTTCCCTCAGCTCTGATCATATTCCTACCTGGATCAGGTCGCACCATCCACCCACTCGCTTCAGCCAAACACCTGGATTCCCCTTTGCTTCTTCATTTGCTCTGCTTTGGTTTCTACACCAGGGGCAGCTGGTGTGTCTGAAATCTGTCCTCTCTCTGCACGACCTCTTCACTGAACCCCAGTCCTACTCCAGTGCACGGCCCAGGCCTCCTTCCTGTCTGCAGACCTGCAGGTCCAGAACCTGCTCCAGTCCTTAGTCTGCCTCGTCCCCAGAACCACCTGAGGGGCTGGCCTGTGGGCACCCCATTCCCGGCATCGGGGAGGCTGGGAGGTTGACTTATCAGCAGCATCCAGGCAGGGAAGGATGACCTTGAAGAGGAAAGCCTGAGGCCCTAAGGACACCCCACCCCCAGCTATGGAATCTCTGGTCCTGGGACATTGGATGCTCTGGACACACAGCACGTTCAGGCTGATCACTGCCCTATCCTTGCCCTCAGGCCAGCAGTGAGTGTGAGCAACTGTCGCTCTGAGCCATTTCCCTGGTCATCTGGGGACTCTCACTGACCTCTACTATTCAGGTCTCGGGGGTGAGGCCAGAGGCCCAGAGAGCCAGGTGGGGTGGGGGCAGGAGGGAGATGGAGGCCCTGAGGGTCATGGGTGGGAGAGACCCAGGCTGAGCCCCGCCTGCAGCGCCCTGTCCTGACTGTCCCTGTGGTCAGCTGTCCAGCAGGGAGGTGCAGGGTGTCTGGGCCGCCTCTGCCCTCCCAGCAGGTGTGTGTCCAGGGGTGCGGCCTGGACCTGCAGTGCTGATAAGGGGAGTGTGGCAGCATCTCCCTCCCCCTCCCTCCTGCACCCCCAG